GCGGAAGAGTTCATGTAGGAGGCATTTCCATGTAAACGATTTAATATCAGAGATGTGATGAGGTAACGTACTCGGGCTCAAACAAACCGTAGTTGTAGTTTCATTCACGCTTAGTGACCTTTCCCACGCGCTAGTATAAGTCAGAGGTTTGTCAGTTTGTCTTTTTTTATCCACACCTGACCGCATTTAAGGACTACCAGAATATCCAGTGGCCCTAACACCCAGCCCCCTCCCCACACGCTGAACCTACGTTCCACGAGAGACAGTGGTTTTTCATCTTCCAATTTAAAAAAAATCCAGATGTTTTGAAGGAGGCGAGGGCCTGAAGAGCATTTATGACTCACATTATAATAGAACCGTCATTATTTGTTTACCCCCCCCCCCCCCCCCCCCCCCCCCCCCCCCCCATTATTGTTTTGAGAAAAAGCCACCAGAAGGAATAATGTAGTACCTGTTGCAGCACTTTGAGCTGTGATTTTCACGTGGAATGCCTTTCGTTGGTGCAGCGGTTGTGTCGTGGTATTCAGTATGGCCGGTAGCCGGTTTATGTATGAAATGGTGAAATACCTTATGTAGTGGTTTTACGTGTGTATAACCAACTTTTCGTGCCCAACAACATCCATCAACTCTACACTGCAGTTCTGGCGTCGACTGTTGGCTTTGGCGCCTCTAGAAACTACCATGTAGATTTACTGCATGCACATATTTCTCAAATGTTAGGGACTAATTGTTTGTTTACCAGTTTTTCAAATAAAATATTGAGGGACATTTCATTAGATTTTCACGTGCACAGAAACTGAGCAAACATGGGGAAATCCGGATTGGAGTGAAGTTGACACATCGACAAAGCAAAGACTGAATGTTAAATTAAGAATCAAAATCCCAACACTCGGGACACTCCCATAAGCGCTCTGTCTCCATCTTCAGCAGCAAGCCAAGAGTACCAATTTCGAAGAGTAAGAAGGAATACAGAATGTGGGAAAGCAACGAGAGAAGATTTTTTGAAAGCTTATATCATGTTTTTCAGAACATGAACTGACAGATGTGATTACAACTCACAGCTTGTGGAGTAGCATAACAGTCACTAGACAAGAGCAGCTGATGAAGTGATGTGTTAGAGTGAAAGAAAAAAAAAAAGCAAGTTTGTGTAGGTAAAAGTTTTAGAGTAAAATGTTGGGGAATTAAAGCTTTAGCTTAGGGGATGTGTGGGCGTGGAAGAGCTGCTTCTTCTTTAGCGATCTCTGGTCATGAGCATAATCCACTGTGGGTCATAAACTGGGATATCTTTTCAAGGTCTCTTAGGTTTCCCCATTGCTTAGTTGACAGTTTTACTGAGTGTTGCCATATGTTGCTCCGCAGCTCCGCCAGGAGTGGACAGTATTGCAGGACATGTTCTGGAGTCTGTTCAGCACGAAGGCACTGGCAGAGAGCTGGTTGGCTCATACATAATTTATATAAGTGTTTATTCATTCTGCAGTGTCCAGTACGAAAGCAAAAAACTGTGACTTGGTCTGTTCTGTTCAGGTGTTTCAGAAAATCTTTCTCGTAGTTACAACCAGTGTTGGTTTTCCAATCTGTTTCTGTTTTTCTCTTGATGAGAGTTTTGACTTCTGGAAAAGATAGTGGCTGGTAGGTCTGTGGTTTGTGTGAAAGCAGGGCTGTCAATGCTGGGGTTTTCCCCACAGATCTGGGCTTCTATTTGACGACTTAGAAAATCTGTTTTTTTTTTTTTTTAAATATATCCTTATATAAAAGTGGTAAATGTTTCGTTTCGTAACTATAAATTTTGTACATTTTAACAATCTGGGTTTTTGTGTGTGTTTGTTCTTTGTCTTGGGTTTTTGTTTAGCGAAGCTGGGTTTTTCAAAAAAATATCATTGGCAGCCCTGCGTGGAAGAGCTAACATAGGAGATGTGTGGGCGTGAAAGAGCTAACATTACATTACCCTGTGGGTTCCAGGACCTCAGACTGAAGGTAAGGGAGTCTCTGTGGCGAAGTAGTAAAGCCGTTTGCCTTGCGCTATGAAGGTCGTTGATTAGTTTCACGGCTGCGCTATTCGGTTCACGAGTGTAATTTATATGGAGTTCCCTGCAGATCGTCGCCGGAGCTACGGAGTTCGTTCTCTGGCATGTGTTCTCGGCTGGCGTTTAGCCGTTCTGCGGAGAGAGAGAGAGAGAGAGAGAGAGAGAGAGAGAGAGAGAGAGAGAGAGAGAGCCAGCCATATGGGACCAAACCTGGTGCAATAAAGTCGTCGTAGTTGGCGACTAATTATTACTTTACTGAATTCGGATGTTTGGGGCACAAGGCCAAAATTTCGCAGTTTAGTTGTAACCTGTAATGTTTGCTTATGCAACGGATCAACATCATGGCTCACGGGTGAAACCCGTGAGTGCTCCGTTCTACTTCTAATTCAAGCCTGAATCTGAAGAATCTCAGCGCAGAGCACGAACTCCGTTGCACCGATGAGGATCCTGAAATACTTTGGGTAGATTTTTAACTCCAAATTTTGCCCAGGCAGGGCAGTTTTTTTCGATTTCCAACTGCCAAGATATTTTTAACGTGCGAAACAATACACAGAGGCGTCCGGTCTTACTACCCGAGACTCGGGTAAACTACTAGAAGTCTACGTGAAAAATCCCAGCCTTCGAGGGGGTTGAACCCGGGACATCCAGCACTCGAGGCGGATGCCTTACCACGAGACCACTCAGCCCACTTGCTGCAATACAACGTGGCGAATGCCGTTTTGAGGCTGAATGCAAAGAAGAAGAAGAAAAAGAAGAAGAAGAAGTAGAAGAAGAAGAATTTCTTTTCTTTTAAATCCCACCTTACCATATTGACTCCTCATCCAAGGGTAGATCAGACTGCCATGACTTCTATCCTCCTCCTCTTTGACACTTATCTCCCCGTCTTCCTCTACGCTAGATTGGGAGGATGACTCACAGCTGTCTCCAGTGACGCTAACACCACGCTGAACAACAGCTGCACTCGCATTCTTAGTCCCAGCATCAACTACATCTTCTTTGACAAAAACGTTGCTTTGTGTAGAAACGTTACGATCTTTCTTTTGAGCCAGTTTACTAATTTCCAGACTGCTTATTGTGTCCAGACTTCTTAACAACACTTCAGTGGGTTTATCTTCTTTATTTGAGATCATAAAAGTTCTCTTTGTAGTTAAATCATCTTCAGTCTGTCTGTAGCTATCTGCTATGCAATCGTCATTATCATATTTGACCTCGACCTTGTCATCATTAATTGGTTCAAGATACTGATCATCGTTAGACGTAGGGATGTTTCTATTGAACGCAGTAATCCCCTGGCTGCTTTGTGTAGAGGGATGTTCCCAGATGGCTGAATTACTGCAAGATACTCCACGATGACTGCGTTTGGCTGCAGCGTCTTCTGCAACGGCTGGTCTTGTCTTAGCCGGAGCGTTGTGCGCTCGCCTAGCTTTTAATCCGATTCGCTCCACTTTTGAATTAGCCCCAGACTCCGGACGAGGAGAGGTGGGACCGAGGGCCAGAAAGCACTCACTGGAGCTGTCCGGCCCAGCCAATTTATGGGAGGTGGTGTCAAGCTGGCAAGTTGTAAATCTGAGGCCCACGTCAAGCGGGGGTTGAGGAACCCCCGCCCCGCGATGTTTCTCATTAACGCAGGGAGTTTGGTGAGAACCAACATGGGAGACAACCCCACCGCTAAACATGGCTTCCCCAAGGGTTGACTGCCCTTTGCATGGCTTCTCGATCACGTGACAGGAAGCGAACGACGTATTAACTATAGAACGACACTGGTGGTTTTGTTGTTGTTGTAGTTGCTGTTGATGTTGCAGTGGATGCTGACGAGAAGAATGTAGCTGCTGCTGGCGTTCTGTTTCCCGGTGGTGAATGTGAATGTTTAGCAAATGAGACGGCGGCGGTGGTGGAATTGCTTGGTGAATGCTGGCTGTTGTAAATGCGGCGATGGCGCAGGGAGGGAACTTCGGGAGCAGGGCGTTGTGCGTTTCTGTGGTTCCAGCAGCCGGGTTCGACGATGTGGCGTATGATGTGAACAAATCGTTTTTGTCGTTGTCGTTAGTTTGATGATTTTGGTAGCGATGATGTTGAAGATGATGCGGGTAGTGATGGGAGCCAAGATGAGGGTGGGAGATGTTGTCCCAGTGGGGTAGGGATTCATTAGTATAGCTACCTGCTTGGTAGTCGGTGCAAGAGAGCATGGTTTCTCTGAAGCAGAACACCCAGACAGGTATGAAATAGTCACTAGTTTCTGGATTAGGTTGGTAGATACTGGAGTCTCTGAAGCTAGCCTAACCACATGACCTGGTAATCTAGCCGTTCCAAGCACGTCTATACCGTCGTCGAACTATTCTTCTTAACTTCCAGTACAGTGATTGTCAGCGCCTGTGGCTTAGGAGTTGTGAACGCGCTTCGTAATGCCAGATGCAGGTCTTGCGTTGGTTTCGACCGTGGTATCGAGAAGCCGACCGTCCAGTGAGCATAGACAAACTACTGGACGTAAATTTGCCTAGAAAAACCACAACAGCCAAAAAAATGCGGGGGTGGGTTTTGCAGCGTCCTGTAAAGGATACGAAACTAACTTGCAGGGATTACGCTTAGCTTCTGTACCTTTAGGGGTACAGTTCTTACAGACCAGCTAATGTGTATGGAATCAAATTATTTAGTCGACCTATTACACTTATTGCACAGTGAACTTTTCAGTCCCTAACCGCGGGGATTCTCCTCCTCAGTAAATCTATAGCAACTGATGACAGCATGCCTATTTTAGTTTATTGTTCTCCTTTGGTATCTTTGACAGTGCTCTTGTCTAGCTGCAAGAACTGTTTACCCGGCTCTTTGATCTTTTCCGTTGAGTTTGTTCAGTCATAGTATGAGTTGTATTTAGTTCTCCATTGTTAAAGACTGGTCAAAACGTTCGGTTGTATTTATAAGTGGCTTTTTCATTCCTGTTCTTGTCACATTCAAACTATCTCATGCTGCATTTTGTACGTCTGGTCTTGCTTCACCGCTTAAGATGTCGCCTACTTTGGTCAAAGCGTTGAATTCTTTACTGTGCCTTTGGTAGTGAGTGTGCAGTTTAGAAGCACGAATAAATCGTCACGGTCTGAAGAGAGTGGTGCAGCGGGTAGCGTCTGGGGACTTTGGCCGATACTCAATACAAAGAGGAAAGGTACGCCGAGCATACAATCAGATAACAACTTGTATCGTCTAAACTGGAGCTCTTCACTTGCTGCTGAAGATAGGGACAGAGCGCTTATGGGAATGTCCCTAGTGTTGTAATTTTGGTTCTCAGCTCCGTTCAACTCACGCAGTACGTCTGCTTAAACAAGTCTAAACATGGTCCATCAGTCTGACATACACGTACGTCCCCTCAATATGTTGCGCTGTGTGATCCGTTAGCAGTGACCTTGACCCATTGCGTTGCCGGGGGCATTCTGAAACATAAGTGCTTGAAGGTCAGTCATTGAAAATATCTCAAGAATAAACTATAGTTAAAAATTAACACTAGGCGACATAAAAATAAACATTTACATTGAAAACTGTGTGCCACATCAGACTAAATATTAATTAAATTCACACCATCCAGCTAAAAATTATTTGTTTGTTTGTTTGTTTTAGTATCCAGAAACCCTAGGCTCGGTATTATGGATATCGCAACCTTTCGGCCTTGATTCCATTGTAAATACCGTAAGTCTGGGAGAAAATGTGGCTTTCCTGCCTACCCCCGGGGATTGAACCCGGACCACAAGGAGTTCGTCACCCGGTCTCCGAGCAATCCGGTTTATCCAACTACGCTAGAGAGCCGGGCAACTAAGAATTATTTAAACTTAGATGATGAAACATCAAACTCAACATTATCCAAACTTAACACAAAATGACAAAAATATACAGTAGACATTATTCAAATTTATTCGAAAATCACATAAAGTAAGTTGATAACATTATTCTGAAAAAAAAAAAAAAAAAATAGGAATAATCTTGTCCGTCCAAACAAACCGTAAGACTCAAAACCTATGATTGAATTTAAAGACAACGAAAATAATGTCCAAACAAATTACTGACTGTTGTCCACAAATAATACATGATGAAGAAATTGAAAGTGTCACAAACTGAATATCTAGTCTATGTAATAAATAACACCGGAGACATGTTTGACAGAAATCAAAAGAAGGATGGCCATAGCAATGCAAAGATTAAACAGCATCGAAAGTCAATGGTTAAGCACCAGCAAGGAGATTATAATTTAAATTGTGCATCGTGCTTGTAACAACACACGGATGTGAGTGGTGGACTATCTCCCAGTCCTTTTGAGCTGAAATGCTATAGAAAGATTATGAGAATATCGTGGACGAAGAGAAGAAATGCTGACATTTTAAAAGATTTGAACATCAAGGAAGACTAGCTAGAACACAGTATCTTGTCTCGGAAGCTGAAATATTGTAGACGTATCAAGCGCCATGGCGGATTGGGAAAAAAATAATGGCAGAAGACATGGGACTATAAAGAAGGTGTAGGGGCCGACCAACACGAAGATGGGCACTGCTCATAAATGACTTCTTGAATATGAAAGTACACGAAGCGGGAGATATGGCGAGACATCGAGTTTCTTTCAGGCAAACCTTCGTGAGAGCGACCTTCTGCAAAGATCCTGCTACATAAGGATGATGATCATTTAAAGCTCAACAGGCGACTATTTAGAGATTTGCTGAAATCAAATGCGCTGGACCGAATGGTGCAGATATCACACACTAGCTGTAGACCATAACACAACCTGCTAGACAGAAAATATCAAGTCCGTTCCTGTAGCATTTGGACAATGGTATAAAAAAGTAAGCAAACGTCTCGTTTCCGCGCCTTTAGGCGTATAGGGCATATAGGGTTAGACCTATATTTTTGTGGGCCAATCGGCACAGGATGGGTGATGTGGTAAGCATCACACCTGCCGCCTTTACTTCCCCGGACTGTACCACGTACCCACTCAACGCTGGGTCGGCCTGGGAGTCAAGGTCATTTTTTGAAAAATGTCCGTCTCAGGTAGGAAGCGAACCCACAACCTTCCGATCCCCACGCGAGCGTCTAGCCGCTACGCCACGGCGACAGACAGTGGTATGCTTTCTGCAAATTCCGCGATGATTGTTTTTGTTGTTATTGTCGTTGTTGTGCTGCTGTTGCTGCTGCTGTAGCCTCTACTACTCTAGAGAATCTCGACTTCGTCATTTTCTTTCTCATCTTCTTCCTCATCTTGATTAATATTGCAATTAATTTTTTTTATAGTGCCACCGTGAACGTCTGTTCTTCTGCCCCCCCCCCTTTTTTTCCCGTTTATCATAGACAGTATGCTTATTATTAATATTATTATTATCATTATTATTAGGATTATTAATAATATAATTAATATTATGATGATGTAAGCTTCTTCCAATTCCTCTCCATTTTCTTCTTCCTCTTCGTCTGTCCCTCAGAATGGCTATCCTGATTATTATTATTATTATTATTATTATTATTATTATTAATAGTTTTATTATTATTTTTATGAAAGCTTCTCCAAATTCCCCTCTTCTAATTAATATAATTATTATTATACCTATGCATCACGTGATGTCATGCACGTGCTCGGTTTTTCATTGGTCAATACTTATGACTGTGACATGTTCATGTTCAACGTATTTAACTACGCGCGGTGCAACAACCGGGGGTCGCCGTGGCGTTGGCGGCTTGACGCCCGTCTGCGGATCCCAACGTCGTGGGTTCGCGTCCTAACGGAGTCGAACTTTTCACAAAAATTACCTTAAATCCCAGGTCTAACCCTGAGCGAGCACTAGGTACGGTCCTGGGAAGTAAATGCGGCCGGTGTGATACTGACCACATCACCCACCAAGTGCCGATTGGTCTATAGAAATGTATAGGTCAAGCTAGCCCTATATTCCCAATACGTCAATAGGCGTGGAAAAGGGGCCCTTTTAACGGTACCGGTGCGACACGAATAGTTTCAAATGAACTCTCCTATTAGTATTATTAATTATTATCATCACCATTATCGTCATTATCATCATCATCATTTTATTATTATTATTTTCAATAGTGCCTTACCATAACCTCTGCTCCTGTTTACGTTCGTTCCTTCATTCTCATCCTCATCTCT